GTGTGTGTGTGTGTGTGTGTGTGTGTGTGTGTGTGTGTGTGTGTGTGAGACCAGCCCTCAGAGGGGAGTGTGTAGCTGTGTGTATTGCTGTGGCGGCGTGGTGGAGGAGGAGGTGTTGGGCGTGGGGATGTTCGCCAGACGGGAGGAGGGGGAGTCGGACAGCTGCAGCTCCTCCAGCTTCTTCAAGTACTCGTCTCTGAGGGCCAACAGCTCCTTGTAGCGCTGCTCCACCGGACTCTGCTGCTGCAACACACACAATCTAAATTCAATCGAAATGTCTCAAGTGTAGATTTCTGGAGAGTTCATGCCTATAAATATAGAAACATAATATATTCTGATGGCATTACAACTTCATCTAAAATATTACAACTTTATTCTGGAAACCACTCTTGCAGTGGCCCCAATACTTGAGTGGAGACTGACATACTTCTATTCTGGCTGTGTGAATAATTTAGGAAGCCATCTGAATTGCCTTTACATTGAAATGATTGGAACTAATTTTTCAAAATGAGAAAGTTGTCTGGTAGCTTTGTTCTTAGTTTGCCACATCAGTTTCACAAAGAGGTAATCGCTGCCACAGATATGAAGGAAAACCACATTCCTACTAAGCGACGGGTCCACAGGCCCCCGAGGGTCACTGTTAAGCTTCTATATTAACAGACTCTCCGGAGGTCCTACCTGTTGTCGTATGCGCGGGTTCCAGCGGATGTAGTACGTCACCCACAGCTCTAGGTGGCGCATGCTGGCGACGGGGTACAGGACCCTGCCGGACTCGGGGGTGTAGAAGGGGTTCAAATACATCTCCATCCTGCTGTTGACCAGAGACCACAGGGACACTGTCTTCGACCTCACCTCCTGCTCAACAGAAAGGGGGCGGAGTCGTGAGACGCTACAAAAGGAAAAGTCAGAGCATTTAGAGGGCGACCGTCTGCCCGTCTTACGTGCTGGTCTCGTGCACTCTCGCAGTTGTAGAGGAAGGTCCCGAAGCAGCAGCTGTAGAGGTGGTCCAGGATCGTCAGCAGGAGGCGCTCATTGAACTCAAAGGCTGTAGGAAACTGAGAGGAGAAGAGGAGCAAAGTTAAGAATTCTGCATCAAACATAAATGTGTATTTTTTAAGTTTAAAAATTCATTAAAAATAAAATAAAAAAAATCTATAATCCAAAACGTTCGTATTTCACTGGGCTCATTTTTTCCCTGCAGCTTTTTTATTTTCTGGGACTTTCGGTTGCCGATAAAAGCCAAAAGGCCGTGTGTCACATATAATAAACACTGCCATTCAAAAGTTTGGGTCAACATTTTGACGTGTGATAGGTAAACACAGGCGAGGTTGCAAAAAGTTATTATGGTCAGTTCTATTGAGTGTGTAGCAGCCATTCCTGTTTGATTGTGCCACGGTGGAGAATGGAACGCTACAATGTGCTCTTGACTCGCACACCTTTGGTTAGTCTTTGGTAGCTTGCTTCTTCTGTGATGCTGCAGTTGTGGATTGGAGACTGTGGTTTTGTTTGCTGTCAATCACAGTAAGTCCCGCCCTAAAGCATACTCTGCTTTATGGTCTATGTGACTCTAAATGGACCATCATTTACTAAATGAACATCATGCTGTATTGAAGAAGACTTGAAACTAGAGATTGAGACCATAAACTCATGTTTACAATGTTTACTGAGGTAATAAATCAAGAGAGAATTAGTGTCATTTTCTCATAGACTTCTATACAACCAGAGGAGTCGCCCCCTGATGGACATTAGAGAGAATGCAAGTTTTAAGATATTCCACATTGGCTTCACTCGGCAGAACTGGAGGTTGTTGACCGCCCCCTTGTGGCGGGGCATACTAACACCCACAAAAAACACCCTTTTTGGCTCCAACACTAATTAATTACACATGTGTTTACCCTGCAATTATATGTCAAAATGGCTGCAGTGAAAAAGGCCTATTGGATGGAAAATTCCCAGTTTAAAGCCCTTAAATCTAACCACTATGTAGACTGCGGAGAGCCCAAATAAAAACAGACTGACTCAATGTTTAGAGGCCAGTTGCACCGTTGTGGTTCAGGGTAACTCATGCTATTCTGGACTGGAAAACAAATATAGAAACAGTATTCTCCCCCCTGACATGCAACACTGTGGGGACATCATTTATAGTAATGTAATCCTTGTGTTATTATAATAAATATATATATATATTTTTGTCTCTGTTAAATAGTCATTATTGAAGGAAAGAAGAAAAACAACATGACAGGTGACGCCAAACGAAGCTCTGCATTTACGCTCACTACAGTGACACCTTCAGAGGAAACGTGACCACATGTTCCACTCAAACACAGTCGACCTTCTGCTTTGCACTGGTTGCTGTGCTTAAATTATTTAAATTGTATTTTCAGGAGGCTTGTTTAGGTCACAGGGTTTAATTAAACCTGAGCTGCTGCCTCAAGCAATAGATGTGAAAAAAGAAAATGCCTTGGAGGTTACCAGCCCCACATGATTGCAGCTGGCTGACTACATGTAGGGTTGTCACGATACCAAAATTATGACTTCGATACGATACCTGCCATAAATATCATGATACCCGATATGATACCAGAATACGATACAATACCACAAATACGATACGGGTATATTTATCTATAATAGTAATAAATAAAACATCTGTATGGTTCCCTTTTTTACCAGCTTGTTCCTGCCCAGCTTTTTGAACACTTATAATGACACACAATGATTAACAGGAACTGTTTCTAGCAGTCACCTGAATGGCATTCATATTAGTATTAGCCTACCGCAAGATATTAATGAAAACTACATTGTGCCATCATAGCATTGATTATTATTGCTGCTGTCTGTGGGAGTGGGTGGATAAACAATGCTTAATTTACTTCAATAGTGACTTTGATATTTTCCAAGATCCATCCTCAGGCTCCACGAGCATGTAGCTATTTTGCATCAATTGTGTTTCCTTTAGTACACTTGTGTGTGCATTGTGACCTCATGATCATATAGGCTTGTCGTCAAACTAGGCTAAGGCTACCCGTGTTAGGCTGTATATGGGTGAGCTTGGGGGTGTTCATGTTTATCATCACATCGCTTTGAAAAGTTCGGGGTGTCTGTCTGAAAGGTGCTTTGCCATGTGTTGCCTCCCTTGATCTGTGTGGCTTTGAAACACATTTTGCAGACGGGTTCTCTGTATGTCAGTGGGCTTTCCTTCACTGTCTGCAATGTAGCTAAAGTACTTCCAGATTTCACTTCTGGCATCTTTTTTTCCAACAAGCCGAGGACGGTTGGCAAAAGCTCCTGCACTTGATGCATGTCTCCCCTGCGATCACTCACTGTGAGCGAGCGCTGCCTGTTGCGTGTGTGAGCGCAGGGCAGCCCCGCCCCCTTGCAGTCAATGCATGCAGGCAGCATGACAGGGAGCGGAACAGTGAGTGCGCTCTGATCGCGCCTATTTTAATGAAGTATCGATACTAAAAATATGCAAAATCGTATCATTTTTAACGTACGGGTACGTTTTTAGTATCGATACACCGTGCAACATTACTCACATGTGTTAAACATACCTGTTTAGTCATCTGCCACACGCAGTCGATGAACTGAACGAAGATGGGTGATCTGTCCTGATCGGCATGGTTCTTGTCACCGTGGCCTATCCTCTATACACACACACACACACACACAATGATTAACAGGAACTGTTTCTAGCAGTCACCTGAGCCATTTTCTTTATAAATGTCAAACTGAACTGTTTGAATGTTGTTGTAAAAATATCTGAAAGTGGATTCACATTAAAAAAAATACATAATTTTAAAAGAGTTACTTACGGAGGCAAACTTGTGCCCAAAGCTGATCCACTCCTTCTCAATCAGCACCTGAAAAGACACCAGTCACTTTCTGTCCATTCATTTCCCCACAGCTGACATCCAATAACGCGTAAGCACAGTAAAAACCCACTACGGCGGTGTTATTAACGCTCACTGTGCGGCTCACAGGCGTTTTCTGATGAGCCAGCGCTTTGTGATGTTTACTGACCTGGAACCCTCGGAGCGTGCGGTAGTGGCTGTCCAGCATCAGCATGGCCAGAGAGGTGAGCTGAGCGGTCCGGTCCCAGCCGTCACTGCAGTGCACCACCACCGAGTTCCCGCTGGAGACCTTATCTGCTACCTGGATGGCTCCCGACAACACCAGCTGCACACACACAAACACACAGATGCTCTTTAGAACACGAGTCAGAAAAAAAAAACCCAGATGAAATGATGACATTCGGATTCTTCTCCCCCCCCCCTCCCTCACCTTCACGTGTTCCAGCCAGTGTGTCGACTCGAGGCTGGACAGCCAGTGAGATTCCTCCACGTTGGGGTAGACGATGTCTTTGAGTTTCTTCAGGGATTCCCTCATGACGTGGATGTTCTGGATGTCCAGGAAGAGGAGCTCCGCGTTCTGGTACTCATCGCCCTCGTAGCCTCCTCCTGTGGCCTGGGGGTAGCAACGTGTGTATTTATTTTTTTGTGTTACAGATTTATTGTTATATTCACTATTCTTTATGATTTTTTGGACATACTATACAATGGCTTTATTGTGACTTTTTTCGACAGATGAAAAAGAAAAGAAACTAACTTAGAAGGATTTTCCAGGCAATTTTACTTCTACCGTTCTTACGTCATAAACACGCGTGAGAAAACTTTTTTGAATATTTTTTTCCTCATTTACCCCTCTGGGCAATGGTGGTACTGAAGATACAATTTCTCCTCACGTTTGCATCTACTGCTGTTATGTGAACATTACGAGATGGAGATCAATAAACTATAAGAAGAAGAGGACGACGCAACAAGATGAAGCACTCAATAGAGAAAGTCAAAGCTTGAACAATATGAAGGTATATTTGTGTCTTTATTACGCAAACAAAAAAAAATGTTTTAAAAGCAAATTTCTCGCACTGCAATCAAAAATCAAGTTTCTAAGTGAAAATATATAAACTGAGAATAATTTATTTGTTAGTTTTGCTTATGAAACTAGAATTTTTGGTTAAAAAATTAAAATCTTTGGTTAAAAACAAAACAATCTTTGGTTGAAAAAAAAAGCTTTGGTTTCAAAACGAAAAGCTTTGGTTTTGAAACCAAAAGCTGAGTTGGGTGTAGTGGGCGGGGCATACGCTGCTGAATGTACCAGGAGTTTCTATTGGTCGGTTTGACTTGTCTCTCGGTATCTGCATCATCTAAACACAGACGGGAGGTTACGGTGACATGGAGGTAAGTTGACTGCTCTGTTTTGTCAAAATTATTTTAAATATAGCAGCACTTCACTTTGTTCTCATGTTGTTAGTGTCGTGGAGTCTCTTTTTAAGAACGACATGGAGGGCTGCTGTGTTGACATGTAGCCCCCACTGTTTAGATGATGCAGATACCGAGAGACAAGTCAAACCGACCAATAGAAACTCCTGGTACATTCAGCAGCGTATGCCCCGCCCACTACACCCAACTCAGCTTTTGGTTTCAAAACCAAAGCTTTTCGTTTTGAAACCAAAGCTTTTTTTTTCAACCAAAGATTGTTTTGTTTTTAACCAAAGATTTTATTTTTTTAACCAAAGATTTTATTTTTTTTAACCAAAAATTCTAGTTTCATAAGCAAAACTAACAAATAAATTATTCTCAGTTTATATATTTTCACTTAGAAACTTGATTTTTGATTGCGGTGCGAGAAATTTGCTTTTAAAACATTTTTTTTTGTTTGCGTAATAAAGACACAAATATACCTTCATTGAACAACAGAATACCGTGATGTGAACATGATGGAAATATGACATTTCTGTTACAGTCTCAACAGTCTCTTTTCTCCCGCTGCTATTCTTTGTCTCTTCAGTGGACGCTTGAGTTACAAGTTAAAGACGTACATGAAGCATGTGACTTATCATTTATTTACCACGTCTGTTTCCATCACACTCATTTTATCTTTATCTGTACATCAACTCTTCCTCTTTAGCCATTTGTGATATCTGGACTTTGTTTTTATTTCCGGGGTTCTGCTTTTTTTTTTTTTAAGAAACAAATAGCAACGTGCAAACTTTGAAATGATTAGAACTGTCATTTCTTTTGTCATGATTTTATTCAGTTATTTTGGTCTCCCTACCCCCCCCCCCCCCCCCCGTGTCTAACCCCTTTAACCCCTGAGAGTCTGTCCTCTCCCCTCTGACCTTGTTGGCCACAGCGTTGACGCTGGGCCGAGCGTCGTAGATGGTGAGCTTGGCAGTGTCGTTGGCCTCCCTGATCACGTCCAGGTAGCGCTCATCGTCCTTGTTCCTCTTCCCCGACATGCCGACCAGAGGCTGACTGCAGCGGACGATCACCGCCTGGTTCTCCCTGTGGATCCACGATAGCACCTGAGGCACAGAGACCGGTCAGTGCTGCAGGACGGGGACTCACCGTCTATCAGGGCGCCAGGGTAACCACGCAAAACTAGAGGTGCTCCGATCGTTATCAACAGTTTGATCGGTGGTCTCTCTAGAGGCCGATCAGAAGAGCCGATCAGGTGACCCAAACTACACCAGATCATTTCTCTACCCGCACACGTTGCTTAATTCATGATGCTTTTTCATCTCTTACTTTTAATACTACTACATGGCAAATAGTTGTTTGCTTCTATTTTAGTGTTCAGAATGTTAAATACAGCTCCTTTAAACTGATTGGCTGTGTACTGCCTCACAGTATCGCTGCAGATAAAATACTTTGTTAGTCACGGCTGTCATGTGACAAAATAGGCTCTCAGTGTTGCAACGGTAAAACAATAAGTGTTAGCGGGTACATTTTTTTGTTTACCTTGGATGGTAAGTCAACAACGATCATAATAAATGAAAGTAGTTGAAGGACAGTTCAGAAATAAAAATGTCACATGATTAGCTTAAACCGCGTACTGTGATGTGCTGTAAATACAACAAATGCCACGACCAGTTGAACTTTCTCAGTTCTACTTCTGCTCTACAGTCATTTATTCTCATTTTAGCATTCTAATATTTCTGTGATATATTATGCCATCCAATAAAATATAACAATACTGTCTATGTATCCAAAGCCTGAATATCGTATTTCTCTTTCCCCAAAACCTTGTAAATGCTAGTAGAATGTCCCCATAGAGTAAAGACTGTGAACTCGTGCGTGACATGGTTCAGTAGTACACAGCTTGGTGTTGTGCTCACCGGTATGCGTCCTCTGGACCTGAAGGCAGCCACTCTCCGGAGGTCCTCGTCTTTGCTGTTCACAGGCACGGCCAGCAGAGTGGGGTATGTGTCACACAGCTCGTAGCTCTTATTGATGAACGTAATACGCCACTTGTTGTTTGGTAAGCCCTGGAAGAGACACCCGTCACCATCGGTTACTCACTGAAACACTGCTGCTCGCATTGCAGGATTATTCTAACTTTTCCTTTAACTTGTGCTTCTGTTGGCACAGTTACACCAGGTCCATTATGTGCAGCTGTAGCAATGAGCGTATCGGTGTGAATAAACAGCAGTACTGGGCTGCTGCTCCTCTTTACCTGCCGTCTGAACTCCTCCATGGGTTTGTAGATGTCCCAGCCGTTCTCACCGTACTTCTCCTGAGTCACATATGCAAAGAGCAGCTGGATGGAGGAGAGAAGGAGACTTTTCATTTCACTGACCAGCTCAGACTGTTATTATAAGAGTCTGACAACATTATGGAAAGAACCCTACAGAGAAATACAACTTTTTCCTTTATCTTTCACTTGTTCCGTTCTGTTTGTTATTGTGTCAAACCAAAATCTCGCTCATAGAGAAATCTCGTTCTGAAATCTCATGTTGGGGGTCAGGCCTCATCTACATAAGTTACTGCTTATTTTTAGTCCGCGGCTACTTTTCTAGGAACTAAAAAGGTTCCTTCAGCCCGAAGACCTGACGATAAAAGTAACCTCAGGTTTTTGTCTCACTGCGACGACATTCACTGATTGTTAAAATGTAGAGGAGGAAAACGCAGCTAAAGAGCATCTGTCTCCACAGTTCATCTGTTGAGAGTTTGATGGTTATTTATTTGTGCTTTGGAACGTAACCAACGGTTTTCTGTCATTCACAGCACCGCCGCGCTGTCTCAGCTCGCCTGGCGACCCGTCTCGCCTTTTCTCTCCGACTTTTTCAAAATGAGTCACAACCCGACAATTCGTTTTTTCATGACATAGATAACATTAAGCTACACTTTCTGTCCTCTCTCAAACCCTCTCTCACGTTTCCACAGTTGTCATCCAGCAACAAGTCACTTCACTGTTTAAAGTGGAGACAGTGTTCTCTTAACAATGGTCTATGGATGCACTGATCCAACTTATTCAGCCCCAGTAGCGTCCCGTCGATACCAATCCAACACCAGAGTCTAATGAATAAGCTGTACGAGACTGAGATCGTTCTCTTATGTGTGACCAGGCTTAACTCAAACACTGCTCTCCTAACTTTGTGTCAAATAAATACAGAAATAGAAATGTACTGAATTGTTTATTAAAATAATGGTATCAGACACCAGATCGACACATTGTCACAGATACCCGATGCAGCTATTTGGGTCAGTACCAGACTAACATCCGATATCTGTACTGGTCTTAGTGCATCTCTCCTGTTAATGATCCCCTCAACAGAGAAACAGAACAGGTCTGTAGGTTCATGTTCTGACCATCAGTTTGCTTCATTTGACCTTTCTTCTGTCGGTTTGGTGTGACAACTACAGACTACCTTAATCATCAATTCATCAGTAAACTTTATTCCATTCAGTCTGTACAACGTCTGAAAACAGCCTGAAGACATTTGTCGCCTTCAAACGTCCTGTTTCGTCTCCGCTGCTCCATAGCGGAGACAGAGGCCCCGCTAAGGCTAGCTTTGACACGTATCGTAGCATCAACATGAGTGTTGGGCATTAAATGATGGCTGTAAGCTGATACTGGGCAGATTGAAATGCTTCAAATACACTCAGTGGACTAATAAAAAGTAGTGGGGGGAGAATATAGTGTATCCATTGTGCTGTAAATGATGTGGATCAAAACCATCTGAGAAATCGAGGCTCCGTCTGCATCATCTATTAAATAATTTCCTCGCTGGCCCGGCAGATAATAAGGAGGCCCATCAGTTGGCGGTAGGAGGGAGAAGCTGTCCTTACCTGACTGTGGGAGAGGGGGAAGGCGTATTTGAAGAGGAGCTCGAAGATATCTCTTCTGCTGTGACCTTCCTGCTTCAAGGCGAACCTCACGTTCCTCATGTCCTGAACAGGAAGGAGCGGATCAGCACACTAACAGCAGTCCTCATCCTAACTGACAAATATTCATTCATTTTTACAAGTTTAACCATTTAAAATAACGCCACTGTTGTTTTCATAATTAAAATAAAAAGATAAATAAATAATAATAATAATTAAAAAAATAAATAAATGTATAAATTAATAAATATAATGAATAATACATATTTATTCATTTCTTGTTCTTTTTTTCTGTATATTAAAATGTTCTATTCCACAGTCTGGTGTACGTCAATTAGAGTGTTACATAATTTAAAAATAAATAAATAACTCACAGCCAAAATGATGAGAAAATAAAAGTGAAAGAGCCAAAAGAGCCCCTAGTGACGTACAAGGATTTGAAGGTAGCCTGTAGCACACTATGGACCCTGTGTGTGTTTGATGTAAACAAAGCTCAGACACACACAATCAGTTTGGGTGAGTAACACTCCACAGGGCACCTTTCATTTGTGAGGTGGTACAAACACAAACAATCAGCAATGACACTCCTTATGCTGTACCTCTTACACGCACACAAACACACCTTGCAGGTGATATCCAGGCCGTAGGAGTTTTCTCCTCTGCTTGACGCCCCACCCATCTTCTCCACCCGACTGATGGCACCCAAGGGAACGTCCAGCGTCACCACCACATCCTAAGAAAGTTAGCATGTCATTAAAATCACTACACACACACACACACACACACACACACACACACACACACACAATTAAAGTGCTCAACTATCAGTAGAAAATATGATCAAAATTCACAAGAAATGTTCAAAATCTTTTTTTTTTTTTACATAACGTCATCATTTCAACAGCAGGGGTTTATACCATTACAAGGCATTTTGTTAACAGAGCTGAAAGTCAATATTATTTATTGTTTTTCTTGTGCGATTTATTTCATTTAAGTTTCATTTATTTGGATATTTCAATATATTCTGATATCCATCTGATTAAAAGTTCATTGCTTTTCGACAGGGTGTACTTGCGTCATTATTCTAGAACATTATCGTTACATCAGTGAGGCACAAAATGGTCTTGAAACGACAATAACATTTATTTATTTCTGGGTCAATAAACTAAAGTGGTTATGGTAACCGGCACCTTAAACACACTGAGCCAATCAAACTCATGCTTTATCATTTCAACAGTTGAAATAAAAGTTTTCACATCGTGAATAATTAAGATGGAGTGACACAAGGATGTTATTTCTATGCATTTCAATGATAGTTTTGTCCTTCAGTCCACAGCGATACTGTTTTGCTTTGGTCTCACCGCTCTGATTTCCTCTGTTTTCAGTGACAGAGCTGTGAGAGTCACACTGTTCACTACCTCACTACCTGAACAGCACACAGACACAGCGGAGCATCTAGCAGCTAAAGAGACATTGGTCTCAGGAGATGGTGGAGATCCAGGACAGAGCTAACAGGAGAGCGATTATTGGATGAATCATCAAGTGACACAAACAGAATGCTAATGTTGCTCTCTGTCTGCTGTTTCACTATAACAACTTGTACTGTCAGAGAGAAGGTCTTTCTCTGGGAGAGGTGGGTGATTTGAATGGATCTGAGTTTCTCCCACAGGAAATCTGACAGATAATGAAAACGCCAACATGTAGAGTAATGTCAGCTACACATTCTCTTTTGTGCCCTGTGGGGTTTTTCCTGGATCCGTTTCGCTTTTGGCAAATTGACAGTTAAAAAGTATGCTGAATCAGCTATTAGCAGTTCCTGTTTGCAATGTACCCGTGAGTGTACAGACTGCAATCACTGGATTTCATTTCATACTTTCAATCTCACTGTAATGATTCTTAGGCAGGTTCTGAAGAGTCCTTTTGCTTTGGTTTCTGAGTCCACTTAAGGAGGTTTATTATCTGAGATAATGAAATCCTCACACAGACTGTGTTCCGTCTGTGTTATGAGGAGAGAAAGGTTGTGGTTATTTAGTATCCCTCACACACACACACACTCGCTCTGACTGGGTTTAACAGGACTTACAGCATCCGAGCTCTTGAAGTGGAGTCTGTAGTTGGTGATCAACACTTTGCCTTTCACAGCTCCGTTGAATGGACAGATGTAGATGATGTCTTTATCTGAAAACAGATGAACACAGACGTCGTTTGTGCTCCCCCACCTTCTCTCGTGTCTGACCTCACACAGGCCTCACTGGCTCGGGAAAGCTTCACTTTATGTTGTTGCCGAGCAGTGAGGAGCGTAAGGGACAACATCACGCACAGAGAAGAGGAAGCAGAAAAAGAGAAGAGAGCCGTGCAGCAGGTAGGCTATAAATACCATCTACTTAGACTCAGCATCTGGCATCTAAATCACATGTCAACTTATTACAGGTGGAATCACTGTCGGGTTGAATCAGTCAGAGTCAGAGAATATTGACCGTCCCGAGCCATAAATAACCGATCTGACTTTCTAACAGCGCCGGGGTTAAACTGTCCTCTGGTGTCTTGGACCGCAATGTCCAGAGAAAGATCATCAAGAGACGACTGCGGTTTGAAGTGGAAACAAACAAAAACACATTGTAGAAGAAATGCCTCAGTGTTTAATGATGTCTTACAGTAGCTTTGGCCATTTTTCTGTACTCACTTCAGTAATTAGTCAGACCTTGGCACATGGTGACAATCACTACAACAAATGGAAATGAAGTCATTTACTTTTTTGCAGATAGTTAGATGAAGAGTAGAGAGCTGGAGACGGGATGTGGTTAGCTTAGCATAAAGACTGGGAGCAGGGGGGAAACAGCTAGCCTGGCTCTAACCAAAGTTTAACACACCTTCCAACACTTCTAAAGCTCACTGACTGACAGGCTGTACATGGAACTATTGGGTGTCCTGGCAAGACACATTTTTGCTACGGCAACGGTAACTTCCATGAATTTCGCTACATTTTTGTATTTATTTGTTGTTTTTTTGTGTTTATCACTTATGTCATATGACAGAACACATTCTTCAACACCTGAAAAGGCAGCGTGGGGATTGGAGTACGGCAAGTGCAGCGGACGATCAGCGCTCCCCGGCCGGACCAAACGCCACCACACTGCCCCAGGGTGGAGAGGGAGGGGAGCCGAGATGGAAGCTAAGCTAACCCAGCTAGGACCTGAGGCTACTCCACTACCCAGCATGCTCCTGGCTATCTGATGCCCGGTCGCAGGAAAATAAGATGGATGAAAGCAGCGGGAGGTCGGTGACTGTTGAGCCCACATCTTCACCTTTGTGGTGTTACGTGCTGGAATTATTTCCGGGCTTACATCTGCTGGGAGCATAGACTCTGGAAGGTGTCTCCACTTGGTGAGAGGAAATACTGTATGTATAGTTCGGCCCCTTTAACATTAACAGTCCTACAAGAACTGTGCCTGGAGGCAAAACAACAACAAAAAGTTAAGAACTAACACAAAATAAAAGTAAATCGGGCAACATGTGAACAAAGATCGAGTATCACAGTACCAGCACCTTCACTAACATTCAGGTGGAGAACACAGAAACTTGTGTAATATAGGAAACGCACACATCTCTCTGACCCGTCCTCTGTGTGCGGCGCTCACACACTGACTGAACAACACGGCTCCAAGGAGGAACCATGTTGGGCTGGAAGCAGCTCAGCCGACAGAGAGGTGGGACTGATGGAGCTTCGTGCACTCACCTATGATTCTCTCCTCCCCTGGCAGCAGAGACACATCGGCTAACAACTCCATCTTCAGAGACTCTCTGGACGTCTAAAACAAACACACGGAACAAGGCAGAGACACTAAACAATAGAGGAAAAGGCAGGAACACGTGTATATGAAAGGACAGGTATAAAATAGCATCAGTTTCACACGTTATCTCGTGCTGTCTTTATTTTCAGTGGAAGTAGTTTGCGTCACCAGTTGAAGTGTCAGATTCAGTGAGACGAGACACGGTGAACACAGCACTTCTCCTTTTTAAGATGTTGAACCGACGAGCTGTCACACGGAGGAATTAAGCAGCTTAGCAACTACATTCACACCGCTGCTCTTCATCCTTATTTGGAATTTTTGTTTATTAATTTAATTATTTTCCATTCTATTGGTGAGTTCATTCTTCATCTGTTCGGTTCCATTCAGAGAGCACTGGGCTTTTTAAATCTGATTTTTAATAACAAGCACCACAAAGGAAATATGTGTTAAGCTTTACTGTGTTATTAACACTGACAGTTTGTATTGTATGTTAGGAATATCTATTTCAATTCTTCATAAAGAAGACTTGACTGGCTGGGTGATGAAACCCTATAACTGCCTACTCTTCATCAGGCCTGCTGGTGTAGTGTTTGTGTGGCTCATAGGGCTGTACCGAATAGTTCAAAACTTCATTCATAATGTTGATTATCATACATTTTAATATTAATAACTAGGTTGAGTGCTTCTTGTTGAAACTTTTCAGTGTTTAAAGCTCCATGCAGAATAAGGCCTAATTCAGAATATCCAAACGGAATAGGATGTTTACATGAACCATATCAAACTCTGAATATTGTCATATTCGGTATCAAAGTAGAATACGAGTGTGCATGTAAACGTATTCACTGATGACTGCGTCACATGCGTGTGAGGTGGGCGTGACCGTTACCTCATGGCTAGGTAGCAAATGCTACATGGACATGTTTGCAGTAAATGACAATAATTATAATTTCTTTAGCTCGGTACATACCACCCCCCCCCCCAAAACCATCCAGTAGTGGCACTAGTGCAGAGACCAGGACCTGATCCCTCACTCGTACTTCTCATGTAAGAAGTACGAGTATCCCACAACAACACTAACCAGCTGATACAGGTTCACAGTCCACACTGCAGACACATCACACGCAGCAAACAGACCCACATGAACCCACTTACACTGGAGATGTGTGCGTCTAAGGGGTTGGAGTTGTAGACGGAGACTGGTGAAGCCATCGCTCAGGGAGGGGGCTTCCACAGGCTGACAAAGACAGACACACACAGGCTGTTATTCTGTCACGTTACCACCAGACTGTAAGTAAAGATCCATCAGCAGAATATATGAGAGACACCAGAACATTTTCAGAACAGCCCCAGGGCCCGAATACATTATGTCAGATAAGACAGAACTTGTGAGTAATACAGCTGATACCAGGGCACCCGCAAGAAGCACATCCAGTATTAACTTAGTCCAAGACAGCAGTGTATGAATTTTACATAGGATGATGCATTTCTGGTGAGTTAAATAACGGAGTGAGGTGGAAAGAGAAGAAGCACTCATAAATGAATAATTCATGCTATTAGACATTACTAAGGCTGACCCTGAGGCTTGGACATGGTTATCAATGTTCAAATGATTTGCTGTTGTTTTAATAAATGTATAACTCCAAGATCCCCATGAAATAGGGAATAGTAATGGCACATTATTCCTCATGCATCAACATTAAACATGATGAGTTATTGCTTGTTATGTGTAGGCCTGCAGACACAGCGCTGTCCCAGGCACTGAAACACATCGATAGACAGACCGTCTCAAGTAAGCCAGGTAATATTATTTTATATGTTGGCATAGGCTACAGTCTGTCTTCATCTGGTAAGCCCACATATGAGCACATTAGTATTTTATGGGCTACCACTGTGATTATTGCACATTTTATAGCCGTTTCCATAAAAAGGAAAAATCCTTGGAGTCTGATTTTTGTCCTCGTCTCTCATTAGACAATATTAGCAGGGTAACGGACAATAAAAGTAAACGTTGTTTGCTAGTTTGGAATTTGACAGCTTGTTTTGCCGTTTTAATGCACACGTTTCCTGGGGGCTCAAGCTCGATGGCTGGAATGGGATGCTCTCTGAGATAAGACCCAAGGACAGCAGCTACCTTTACTCAGACACAACCTTCTCCAAGCAGCTATATATCTGAGACCTGTTTCTCTCACTGGCTGAGTGACGGAGTGACGTGTGAGAGACGACTGACCCTCGAAAAGAGGAGGTTCTCCTCTTCCTTTCTCTGTGTGTGTGTGTAAGCGCACCAATAGGTGCATTATGTGTGAGAGAGCTTGATACAGTGAGCCGGCCTGTACCTTTTTAGGGCAATTTGTTGCCCACTATATTAAGCCTTATCAACATATTTATATCGTTAATAGATGTCAGGGATAGATTGACATTATTTAATAATCATTTTGACATACAGTTAGAGCTGATAATGCTGACCGACGGCGTTATTGCGGAAGCGTAGTGCCCACCCTCCACTTCCCCTTTCATTAAAAACCGTTAGCTCCGTCAGCTGCTGAGAAGCAATCCAAATCCTCCTAATCTCACATACAGAGTTCAGATCATATGCATTTCCTCCACACAACAGAGACTTACATGCGCCAACATGCACTAAAGTAGGGGTTCTCAAACTACTAATAATTGTAAAATCAATTAGCTCATTATTCCAGCAACATCACATTTAATTCAATTTATTTTGTTTAGCCAAAATCATACATATGCACATATATACATACATATACATACATATATACATACACATACATACATATATATATACACATACATACATATATATATACACATATATACATATATATATACACATATATATACACATATATATACACATATATACACATATATATACACATATATACATATATATATACACATATATACATACATATACACATATATACACACATATACACATATATACACACATACACACACACATACACATACATACACATACACATACATACACATACATACACATATACACATACATACATATATACACACATATACACATATATATATACACACATATACACATATATATATACACATATATACATATATACACACACATATATACATATATACACATATATACACATATATATACACATATATACATATATATATATACACATATATATACATATACATATACACATATATATA